AGGTACAAAAGAATAATAGTAAAAGTCTTCTAAAAAATGGGAAAAATCGCTCCTTAAAATCCATGACACCGTTCGTGGTCAAAATCAAAATAGTGAATTAATAACACACGAAACACACGTAACACTCGAAAATAATCAGAGCTCGGAATAGACTGTGTATATTTACTTAAACTTCAATGAAATAATACGCCTAAAGAGCATAGTTACTTTAAAACAAAACAGTGATATTTTAAACCGACTTTAAAAAAGGAGGAGGTTCTCAATTTTACTGTGTTTTTTTGTATGTATGTTACGAGACTACTCCGACATTAGTAAACCGATTTTGATGATTCTTTTTTGTAGGAAAGAGGGTACCTCATTAGTGGTCCGTTTAAAATTGAAGAAAATATTCCACCTCCAAGGATGGCAAACTAAGGGTTGAATGACTTGTGAGGTCAGTTTTTTAGTACTCTGTACTGAGATTATTACTTACAACGTCATACTACATATTGCGCCTTCCATAACAAAGAGGTTAAATCGAAAATTATGTTTTGAGAAATTGGCTACATAGATTTATAAACAACAACGTACGTTGCTCTTACCAAATATGCCGTTTGTCTGGTACTTAATGTGACTAAATTATATTACTTATAAAAAAGATTACTGGGTTTATGTCGTGAATATTTTTTTACTCTATACGGTCAGTCAAAAACTTTAAATTACCTACAAATTTGGTCACTTCATTATTTTTTATTTATTAAATGCTAATGGTAACGTTTTTCTAGTATTAGTTGAGACGTCGAAAAACGAATTGTAGCCTGATCAAACGTGTTCAAAAATGTCAAACAGCACGTTCAAAAATGTGCACGTATACGATGTGTGGTATATGAAGGGATTAAAGTGAAAAACGTTCATTCAAATCGAAATTAATTTATTTCTTCACAACACACAGGTTATAAAGTTGTCACAACAATGCATTTCGAATCACAATCATCTGCGGTACAGAATACAAAGTATTCATGATTTTATGTAGACACTTTTTATATTCAACAATTTGTACACTATATACTAATGCAGTCCTATAAAATAATGTTAGTCACGAAAAGGAATTAACATTTCAGTGTCCAGTTCAAATGAGAAATAAATAAAATGTAAATTTCAATTGTGCACTTTTGTAGACGTCGTCTTGGATGGGGGAGAACATGTGAGTTCATGAAATTGTGCGAGTATATATATATTTCTGCGCTTACGGATGGTGATCGTACACACAAGGTTTGTAAAAATGTTATATTGAATATGCATTCTGTATTCAAGATAGATCATATCAAAGTCTTGGCGATAAATGTAATGTGCAGAAAACTAGAGAAATGATTTTTGGAAAATTATTTGTATAGCACCAAAACATTTTTTGGGTATGTTTAATGAATGTATAATATTGTAGTACTTACTTACAATTAAAGCTTAAAATATAATTTGTAAACCTAGAATGTTTTAGTCACAAAGTAAAGGTATAATCGTAGATTGTCATATAATTATATCTAGTAATTGTGTTTTTTGTGCCTACTCAAAAGTTCACATCAATGGCGGTTACGAGGTTTACTAATTTAGGCGCGATATACAGGTCTTACATAAATAAAATAATTTCATTTTGAAATTTATTAGTGCTTTTAAATCATTTCAGTTGTGGCTACATCACCGATACATAGTAATAATAACATTTATTACATTGAAATACACATACGTACACGTGAACATTTGAGTAGACACAAAAAAACAGAACTACTAGAATAACTATATAGCAACCTTTGATTAAACCTTTATTTTATAACTAAAAAACGGTCTACAAATTATATTTGTCGCTTTAATTGACCAATATCGTGCTTAAAAAGTAAAATGTGCAAAAACGGTTTTACGAGGTTTTCAAATTTAGCCGACGAACACAATATATTAAATTTTTAAATCTATAGTTGTACATGCTATTTAAACAGAATGTTTACAACTCCCGAATCCAAAACTAAGCAAGGTTTGTGTTTCGGGTTTTAATATAATGTTAAGATCAATAACAAACAAAACCCATTAAGTCTTCTGAAACAAATTATGTATAGTTCTAAGAACCCACGCAGTTTCCTACAGCACGAAGATATTAACAAGGTTCAGTTTTACGAGGGACCAACAATGCAGGGCCAATTGCTAACGTCCCGGTGTTCTCATTCCCGGGATATTCTCGGGATAAGATTCCGGATAATCCCGGGCGACGCTTGTTTACGATCGTCTAGATAGCGCTAGATTTAATGTAGGTTGTTGAATACGACCGAAGAGAATCGCAAGATACGATTTTGTATTGTGCGCTGAAAGCTGAAAGATACGGTGAAATAATGATTGGCAGAAATTTCCATTTTATTCTAAGAAAAACTTTGTTAGAACTTAGAATGTTTAAGTCATCATTTAATCTGGCTAATTGAAATAAGAAACTGCACAGAAACGGAAGGGAACTGTTCACATACCACACAAAGATACATAAAACTAATAAACTTTGAAGCTCGCAAACATCCAAGTACTCTTACATATGTACATAATATCGTTGAGTGTACAATTTTTATGTTTGTCTTCAATCATTTCAATACGGCCTCAGAATAACACGACGTGGTTGCCTAATGGTTTGACCGACAGCTAGTCAGGCTCTTCGGAATTTATGTGCGAAATTTAATTTGAAATTTACCATAAGCTTTTCGGTGAAGAACAACATCGTGAAGAAACCTGCACACGTCTGCAAAGCAATTTAATTGTGAATTTCCTCCGCATTGGACTCGATTGGACAACCCTAAACCTCCCATTCGTGTCAGGAGGCCTGTGCTCAGCAGCAGGGCTACATTGTTATTGTTACAAAATAGATTATTAAAAAAAAACTATTGTTAAATGTAATGACAGATAATCGAATGACTATCTTGCGTGACAGTCTTTTTAGTTCGCCTTTTCCAGTTCCAGGTGTTAATATTTAACAGAAGTTTTTGTATTGATATGTAGATTTCCTTAATTTATTACATCAATATATCAGTAATCATCACCCAGGTTCTTGACCGTTAAATCGCGTTTAAGTGTTAGTTAAATTAGGTTATAATTCGAAATAGAACCACCCATGGTTTTGGGCATAGCGTTATCTGATGTAGCAATCTGTTTTACATAATTACACATCAACGAATGAAGTAATTATACATAAAGAACATATACTATATAATTAATTAGAGAGCCTTAAACGTACGTCTTAATTGTGCGTTCTATTTTTTTAAATTATCAACTAGACTGACTTATTTCGCTCGCGTAAGTTTTAGAATGTTCCTTACTTACTGTTGCTTCCGCTTAAACATTTTAAAATTGTATGTTAATTTCTAAACAATTTAATCCTTTTTTGCCTTCCTAACCTAAACTGGATTCTAAATTTACTATAAGGTTTCTTTTTATCATCAAAAGTGTCTGATTTAAACGTTACAAAAAACAAGTCATCAAATGGTTAATTTATTTACCAGCCCTGATTTCAAGTGTTTTTTACCTTTGAATACGTCCTGGTCTTTGTTCTTTTATAAAATCAAACTAATTTTATTGTACTTAACAGTCTGCTACCTAGCGATATGAATCAAAGTTTGTGCCATTACAGTTTTTCTTTCTCGGGTTAGCAGTAAGTACTAAATTGAAAGAATTGTTTGATAATAATAACGCACACACTCAACATAGCCCCGCACTAGGGAAACCCTGTGTCGCGGGTGCCATGGACACATACATAGACAAACACAAATTACACCCAAACTCACGAGAGAAATAAATGTAGGCCATACAAATATTTCTCCCGGCCCGGGAATCGAACCTAGGACCTCTGCGTGGCAGTCCGGCATGGTAACCGTTCGGCCACGGAGGCAGTTAAATTAAAAGTTAAGATAAAATCCTTAGATTCTTTTATACGAGTACAAGACGCTTCAACTTATATTACATCATATAAACTTGTAGAAGAAGGCTATTAAATCAGTAAACTAATAACTCTGAAGGATGGAAATATGATGTAAAATATGTAAATGAGGCTATCAGCTCAATAGTTAACATTTTTTTTCTACAATATTACTGTAAATGATACTAAAGCCCACATTTACCACTATTGCGCTGACAGCCTCAAATATAGATAAATAAAAATCTAAGATGTTTCATTGGACTAAAACGTTTATTTACCGATTATTAACATAAAAGTAGTTTCAATGAACTTTGTCCTTATAGATAATAAAACCACCACTTTAACGTTTACAACTACGTTTCACATATTTTCGTTTTCCTATAATGAGTACGTAACTTTATTACGTGTTATAGATGGGGGTGAATATCGTGCGGATGCTTACCATAAAAGATGACGACAATCTTGACGTTTGCAATAGTTCAGGTTTAATGTTCCAAACACCGGGATTATACTGTGTAGGCATGTAATATATTATTTGCTAAGGACAAAATACAATTCAAGTATTGTCCACGAGAGTCATTGACCTACCAATAAAAGTGGATTCTATTTGCAAAAGTTTAGCTTTCCACAAAAGGAATAATTCTTATAAATAGGTATCTGCATAGCACCTAAGTATAATTTTTAAGTTTTTCAGTTTACAGTTACCCTATATAAGCGAATAGCACTGTGTCAGTCAGCCAATGATATTATGCTCACTGCTGTCAGTTGTACACATTTGGAGTTATTAAATTTGTAAAAATGCTTTACAAAACAAAAAAATTTTAGAACCTCTATTTTAGATTATTTCATTTGCATATTGAAATAAAACGAGATATAGTCTGCTAATCGGTTTTCTATCGGATACAAATTTCGAGAGTATGAACAAATTTGCGATTTGAATTTCGACATACGATTAAACACTTAACACCCTTGGCGCGCAATAGCTAGTTTCACCTGTTTGAAGGAAGACTCTACAAGCATTTCGGCTAATTTATCGTAGATTGAATAATAATAATTGTTAATATTGGTTTCTCTCTTTCACCAGAAGTGTGGAGCGCGAGCGGCGGGGCCGGCAACGGATCAGCATGCGGTAGCAGCGGCATGGACCTGAAACACGAAGTGGCATACCGCGGTGTGCTACCTGGCCAGGTGAAGGCCGAGCCCGGTGTCAGCCACAACGGCCATCCGCCCAACGGTCACGTCAGGGAGTGGATGGCGGGCGGAGCGGGCTCACCATCCCCCGGCGTGGCCACTCAGCCACAGCCCAACAACGGCTACTCTTCACCCTTGTCATCAAGCAGCTATGGACCGTACAGCCCTAACGGAAAAATAGGTAAGTAGACAGAATTTTCAATTAAATTACTATCAGAAGAGATTCTGGTGAGTTGCTTGGGTAACCAATAAACAGAAAAAATACTGACTTTGTGACGCGAAGACATTTTGTTTCTGTTTTATTAGCTACGTACCTATTTATTATTCGGAACATATAGTACCGGTGATGTCTAGGCTTTATTTTTTTTCTGCTGAAAATATTAACGCCACACTTAAAGCAAAGCGTGAAAACGGTTCTAAAACAAAGACCGAGGCGACCTCGTTCTCGGTGACATAATGTCTCCGAACATAATCGTATAACAGTAGGGAGTCGGCATTCAACACGACCTACATACGGACGAACAAAGAACTACAGCACTCCATTTCCTAAGCCTGTTTAATGAAGGTCTAAGCTCTGGGCGCCCTAGCGGGAACGCTGATACTGTCCATTAAATACAGCTACTTTACCATTCCCAGTACTACAACAATGAGAAGTAACCTTACATTACACTTCGTATTATACTTTACTGATTACTTGCTTCTCAAGGTGTCTTTAATCACGAAGCGAAGATTGTGCAGAAACAAACATTCATTAAAATCAGAGGTAACCTTAAATTAATATTGACAAAACTTGAGTCGACCTTTCCCGTGCAACGCAAGGACATGCATTACTCAGTTAATTTACACGACAAGCGTTTCCAACTAAAACTACTGCAGAATTGTAACAAAAACATGTAGGACCCCTCTGGTAAATCCACATTAGTGTTTCGACGTGTCTTTGGATTGTGGTTGATAGTTTTATCGTTTTTTTTCTATATAAAAGCGGATTTTTTCCGTATTACTCGTTATCGTGTGATATAAGGGAGCAACGACCTCTTTATCTATATTGCATGTGTACATAGTGAACCGAACACGTTTTGGTGGAGATAGCTTCCTGAAACATCGCGAACAGTTAAAATTCAAAGTAAGTGTCAAAATTGCAATGTAATAAACTAAAAAAAAGTTAACACCGGTTATAACATTACTCACTCGTTTTACACGTTCGTAGGCCGTTCTACTATGGGATGTATAGTATTTTATTAATTTGCTACTTGAAACTACTTTAAGACCATTCACAAGAAATAATTTTTGTGTGTGTTAGGTTCAGCAAATACTGAGGCGTAATTTTATTATAATACGCAACTTTACACTGTCAGGAAAATGATCCTCTATAACTTATTATCTACAACTTTGTTTTATTCAAGCAGCAGTTAACTATGTGTGCTTTTATTATGAGCACTAAAATCACAAAGATCATTAAAACCCCCCGCTGAGAAAAACAAGGCAAATGATTCAGGTACTTCATTAGGGTGTCTATTTGTTCGTGCTTCCTTAAAGTTATTCAATTAATTCAAAAGAGTAAACAACAAAATTCCGAGAACCAATTAAAAATAACTTGACATACCCAAAAAAAATTACTGTGTTCCGCTAAAAGCCATGTTGCATACGCCTCTCATTATTTTCTCGTTAAGATTTATTTGCCAGTTCTTCAGATTTACTTGTCAGTCGTTCTTTTTTTTACACTGACAAAGACTGCAAAATGTATCAGTCTGTGCTTGTACCTACTATAATAGGACAAAAAGCGTAACGATTCGATATAAACCGAGTACCACAGGAAATTTACTCGGAAGATTGCCTAATTAACCAAAAGAATGACTCATCGATTAAAAGGTAATCAGTCGAAATCAAGGCTGCTGTGGATGTCGGATAATTGATGATTTACGATGTACAGTCGCAAGTTTTGAAGACATGAGTCGTCAACTTTTAAAATCGACAATGATAGTGATCTGTCATAAGTAATTATTAACCACACAACCTGGCCCTCTATTTAGATAAGATCTGGTATTTTGAAACCACCATTATGCTGTTACCTTTTAACGCGGTGTCACATATTTCTTTTAATAGTCAGTGTCAGACCCTAATAAAGTTCAGGAGCTTCTTTTTTTTCCGTCCCCATCGAAAATACTTTGCACTTGTCAAGCATCCAAAATAAGGAAAAGAAAATCACGCATCCATATTTCACAGGTCGTTTGGTCAATCGGCGTATTAAAACAGTTCTAATTTGATTTTCGGTCGCAGCAAAATGCATTGGCGTGGGAGGATGCAGCTTTTTTATGTTTTGTTGAAATTCAGAAATAGTCGTTTCGACACATCTGTTAGTGTAGTGAAACTGTATATAGAATACGTGAAGACGTAGACGTCGGCAAATGGTACAATGAAATATGTACTCAAAAGATCAAAATAGTACAGGGACTTGTCGTAGTCACGTTCGCTAATAGAATCGCATTAAAATAGGAACATTAATGAGATGTAAATTTTGCAACAAAAGCAGCAAGCTTATTGTTATTGGTACAAAGATCGAACAAACGGAAATAATAATTCCTTCGATCCGACTGGAGTAGAACCAGCATCTGTCGCCTCAACGTGGCTACCGCTCTTGCTAACTGAGCTACGGATCGAGCCAGCAGATCTTACGAATTTCTCCATATGCCTGTTGTCGATCTTTGTATTAGGTTTAAACGGCTTTTTTTTGCCGTAGTACTTACTACCTGTGAGAACTTACGAAAGTTTCTTTAGTCAGGTACCTTTACAGCTACCGGAACTTGATTACAATATTTATTTATTGCATATCATAATGTTTTACGTAGCTCGGTTTGCAAGAGCGGTAGCCGCGTAGAAGCAACAGACCTGGGTTCGAGTCCAGTCGGATCCAAGGATTTTTCTTTATGTTTGTTCGATCTTTTTATAAATAATAATAACAAACTAGTTTAGTATATTCACAAATAATAGATGAATACCATGATAATAAATATCATCAGGTGTGTCTCCCATTGGGGTAGACAGAGACCATGGACCTCTGCTTGCTACGCACCTGACAAACTTCTTTCACCTCCTTGACTCTCACAGTCACTTCATCATGAAACATGCTGATATTTCATTAAAAAAAAAATAAAACAGCAATATTTTTTTCTGAAATTCTACAGACGATGTAACCACATGTAACTAATACGAAATTTGTAATACTTACGACGTGATTCAGCAAACTGCGCGTATAAAATCGGTTGTCGAGGAAAGAGCGATTTCCAATAGCCATAACTATAACTTTGACGTTTACGTCTCTAAGATAAAACATTTCAGTTATATAATTTTACAATCTGAAATCCAAATAAAGTGTCTAGCGGTTAACATTTGTGTAGATAAGTTATAGAACGTAGGTAAAGTAAGAAAGGAGACGTCAGTGTAAAATTAAAAGACTACGAATACTAACAACGAGTATAGCAAGCATAAATTTATAAAGTGCAATATTTTACCCTCTATTTACAGCTGTTCAAGAAATATTTAACAACCAATGCCATGGACGCCGCCCAAACGACGGACATTTACAACCTGCCTATTGCAGGACCTAAATGAGGTTCTATAACAAATACTATCACATTAAATTTATGAATAATAATAATGTTAATGCAATATTACGACACACTTTAAATATTTGCAGAGCTCTTATTTCTAAGATGTTATGGCTGAAATTTAAATAATGTTGGTAATAGTACTTGTTTGTCGACTCCATGATTACCCGCAAGCTTATTTACTTAATCGAAGATTTTAATAGCTCATTTAATATAGAATTTATGTTGTATTAAGATATTTCATTATATTAGCAACTTGCAGCCTTTAATCGCCAAATTTGTAAAGATTTACGTTGAACCATGTTTATTTACTATTATACAGCACTGTGTTTCGATGAATTTTGTATTCTATAGAATATAACTGGCAGTGTTTTTATGAAGTACGTCGCACAATATGGCACGGAAATATACCTATACCAATTCCTAACAATTATACAATACAACTACAGCGTAGGAGGGTACGGTATTAATTTGATAAATAGGCTCATTAAGAGGGCTAGACTAATATTTTAAACCGCCTTATCTGTTATTTATGTAATTACCCGAGCTACTAATTTGTAGGTGTGATTTATTAGGTTTTTAATGGTGAATTTCTATCAATATACTCTTGGAATAGCCGTTTTCATGTCCTTTCAGACTTATATTTATTATATTAGTCAAGCTTATAGTAATTTTACGCGACGTTATAAAGAAACTTATAATAAGTTTTTTATAAACCGATAATAAACCTAAATATGGCGATCACTAACGACATCACTATTGACTCATCACTAACGACGCAACTATTAATATAATTTAACAGATTTTTACCGCGTACTTTTTTTGTTGCATAGCCGAACATTTCGACATAGTTGCTCGTACCATGGCAAAACTACCCGCAGCTCTGCGGTTGTCCCGTGATCACAATGTCTACTGCGTCTAAGTGTGGCTATTCATGTAAAAAGGCACTCGATAAAAAAGCCACGGATAAAAAAACCTGTAAAATTATATGAAAGATCGAAAAAACACAAAGGAAAATTCCTTCGATTCGGCTAAACTCGAACCAGCGACCTCGCCAAACCGGGGCTGTCGCTTTCCCAACTGAACTACGGTACGGGTCAAACTTTATGAATTTCTCTATCTGCCCGTTGTAGATGTGTTTTTGGTTTTAACGATGACAAAAGTAGGTATATGTTGTAACCTAACTTAATTCAAACAAAAGGTATTTTTTATAATATTTCGTTAATTTACAATAGGTGGTTTGTATGGTGCCGCTACCATTTTGCTTTTTTTTAAATCAAAAACTACTTCAGTACATATTTCACAAGTACATATCTTGTAACCTTTCAAATAACTAGAGTTGATAACAATTTACTTGAATGCAGTATCGAAGTAATTTTTCAGCTGTTATTGTAGTGCAAACTGTCGAATGAAAGGAACTTTTCATCGTAAATATTAGCCTAGTATATTTATTTACTTATCTAAAACGAAGACCTTAAAACTGACTTAAATAATAATAGTAACGACTGAGAGCCAATTACAGATCCTCACTCACATAACGGAACCTGGATGCACAATTTAACTAACCTATTACTTA